GCTCATCAAGGAGGTGTGGGCAGCCTTTATTTTTATTTTTGTTTTTATTTTTAAATTGATTTTTTCTTTATTTTACTTGTGCCTTCATGCTAAAGCTATAGGGATTAGTAGTGCTACTGTACAAGCCAGCTTTTTATTACTGAATAGACAGTTCTAGCCCAGATGCCCCAAATGCAGAGTTACCCCTGAAGGCATTAGCACTGTTCTGTCAGGGCTCGTTTCTGAGCCTGAGCCCTGCACACAGCAGATTTGGGATGATCACACAAGAGAAAGTGATCCAAACCAGGTTGTACCTAAGACTAGGTGACCACGACCAGCAAGAACACAGGCAGTCGTACATCCCCTCTGTCAATACACAAAAGCATTCAGTTCTGGATTCTTCTGACCACTAATCACAGTGTATTCAATCAAACAACCCTACCAGAATTAACAGGGAAAAGAATAAAAAAAGACTTCGTTTAGTAAAAGTACTCTTAGACACATTTGATGTAATAGTCATATGATTAACAAACTGTCATATCAAAGTTTTCTGCAAAGTAGGAACACTCTGACAGTTCATATTTTAAAAACTGACATTTTGATTCATTACTGTAAATAGCACTCTGTATTAAATATTGTGACAAGGCATATAGTGTATTTTTGAGCTCTATAACATTTAGGAAGTACTAGATTTTTTTAACTTTTTTTTTTTTTTTAAGCATGTATAATACCAAAAGCAGTTAAAGCAGAACTCCAAGAAAGCTTCTAGAGGAGAGAATCATGATTTCTGAAATAACCTCTTTCTCTGCCATCATCTCAAGCACTGCTGGGAACTTAAGCCCACAAGGATCTTAATGTACCGTTTGCATAATAAAATAGGGAATTGTCTCACAGAACAAAAGAGCTATATGGAAAGTGGCTACATTAAATAATGTAAAATTACTCACTAGCAAATCATCCTGAAGTTGGCATAAGAGGAAGAACACTAAAAGGTGCTGAATTACCACTCAGAATATTTGAGTGCAGGTTCATAACTGAGATAAACAACACTGTGTCGAAATGACTGACCAAATGTGCATCTTGCTTATCCCCTCAGTCTTTAGCCACATGTTTTGCTTCCTCCTCTGTCTCACCACTCACTTTTATCTTACAAAGGATAAAAATGACTCTATGAGCAGAAATGAGGGTTAGGGCACAGGAACAGCAGGACCACCTCTTCTAATGATGGTACAAACTCAGACCAGTTGAACCTGCTCACGAAACCACACCTGAGTTCAGTTATTGCCCATCTTCCCCAGCACTCACAGACCTTCACATCCTTCTCAGCAGCTCAGTTTCATCCACTTAGACTGTGAGCTCTTACAGACAGGAGGTGTCTACCCCTGTGCACATCTGTGCAAGGAGACCTCAGCCAGTCCCCTGAGACCTGCTGAAACCCAGTGTGGGCAGAGAACTGCTACCAACCCCTGCAGCCCAGTACAGCCATGCCCATCACAGGCAGAGGCAGAGCAGGCAGCACTCCCTCGCTGCCAGGGTGAGCAGGAAGGACTGCCCAGTTGGAGCTGTCAAGGACTTCTCCCTGTACAGGGGTCCACAGCAGGGCAGCTCACACTGTAGGGATGCTGTGAGCCACCAGAACCAACCCACCAACCAAGAGCACTTAATCCCCCTATTGCTCGTGGACACCTTTCCAAGGGTCACCAGTATCAGGGCAATCAGGACTGGGACCAGAAGCAATAATGCAAATGTTCTGCATTTCCTCAAAAGTAAACCCCTTGATAGAAAAATTAAAAATAATAGCCCAAGCCAACACATAAAGGCCTCGATAGAGCAGCAGAGGAAAACCAGAGGCTGCCCAGCCTGTTTGCAAGATGCTCAGGCTTCAAGAGGACTACAGTCCAGGGCTTCAGAAAGAAAAATGGTTACCATTATCATTGCTTGCAGCCAGCTGCAAGTGGAGCTCTGGGCTCAGAGAGAATGGATATGCTGCCATAAACATGAGCCTAGCCCGGGACATGGTGAGGCAGTCACGCACACCGACGATGGATCACAGCACTGTTCTAACAGGAGTTTGATCCAGCACAGCCTGCCTTTCCCCAGGAGCAACTACACACCCCTCACATGCTGGAAATCTTGTGGATGTGTTTGCATGCCAGCAAGTGTGGTAGTAGTAGTGGTCTAGTCAGACATCCAAAACATATTGGCACCACTATAATTTGTCCATTCACCAATATGTTTTCCTAAAAAGGCCCATATGCTTTTCCTGCAGTTCCCATATGCTTTTGCAAAGAGAAACAAAAACATTTTGTTAGTTGTGAGCGATTGATCGCCACATATTTCACAGAAGTCAAGCAGAAAAACAACAACAACCAGAAAAAAAAGCAGTCAGCTGCTTCCCCCTCCCTTTCCTCTCTGTTCACGGAGGGAACTGTGAAGAGCAGGAAAAAATTCAGCCCACAGCAAAATACACACACCGTTCATTTTTTGCACTGCAAGATATTCTAGGAATTACAGGAGGAATCTTCATTAAAAACAAGCTATCAAAGATCTGGCAGCCAGTGGCATACCAGACAGTAATTCAGCATTGGGTGTTCAGCTCGGCGCTCGGCACTCGCTTGGGTCTGCGCCGCGGGCAGCGCAGCCCACAGGAATCCAGGCTCCTGGAGAAGCACATTAAACAAGCCTGGGGGTGGGGGCACAGCGTGGTAAAGAGGTTACAGCCCTTCCAATTCATAGGACAGCTCATTTGATGCCAAATCTATCTCTACTCGCAAGTATAAAGCCCCCTCTCCCATGTAGGGCTTCCCAGGGAGGTGCCGCCTTGCTAACATGAATCCTAAAGCAGCCAGAGGGCAAGGGAGCAGGCAGACTGCTCAGTTCAACTGGGAGCAGGCACGTGGGTGTGCAAGTATGTCTGTGTCAAGGCTGGAGCATGTGGGAACTGTAGCTGTTTAGTTAGACACTCATTAAGAAACAGCAGACCCAGGGCCAAGGTTCAAAGAGGAGCAATGGGAAACATTTCTCTGGAGAAAGATTAGCGTGTGTTCTTCTTTACACAAATAAAATTAAATAGAGAATAATAATATAGACAAATCAATTAACTTCTGAAAAGCCAAGGGCACTGCATGCAAGAGCAGATGAGAGGGGAAAAGCTTTGTTACAGGGCCACTGAAGCAGTGTACACCCTTTCTTCCCTGGAAAAGAAATTCAGCTATTGCTGAAGTTTTGATGGGTATTTGCTGAAGTTCTGATGTTAGCCCTGGCTTCATCATGCTCACTGTTACAGGAACACATACCTAGATTTCACTATAACCCTATGCACTAAGAGCTTGGGATCATCTTTGTGAAGACTATGGAAAATACCCAAGGGCAGAGGTCAAAGGACTACAGGGGTGCTTGACTCAGCAGTTTCAGCCTAAAGGTAGGAGAGGGAGGCTGACAACCTCTATAGGACACCCAGAACTCCATGCACTCTTCTATCAGAATAAACTTTCTGTGACATAGTCCCATGTTCTACAGTTCCCCTGCAAATTTAACCAGGAATGTTCTTTGCAAAGTTAGTGTTCTCTTAAAATGATCTAACCTCACACCAAGCCTAATGAGAAGCCAGATGCAACAGGTCAAGAGCCCAATCTTTCACAGAAAGAAAGCTGAAAACCCAGTCAGGAGAAGAGAAATTAATCTCTTGCACAAGACACAGAGTAAAAAACCAATTTGTTGGAGACAGCTTGCTTGGCAAGATACATTTTATATGTTTTTGTCTTGAGAGGAGTAGTAAGTACCTGAAGATCTAACTTCACCACTCACAAATGTATTGATGTTGTTGCTCAAGCTCTGAACAGAAAGCAAAACTAATACTGCCTTATTTAGTTAACAGTATAAAAGGATGGGCTTCTTCCTAGATTTCATATTTACAGCAACCCACTGGGACAGTTTATTAGACTTAGCCAGGAAAGCTGCCACAGAAAGAGTGAGATTAACAGAAGAGCTGCCATTAATCTTCCATAACCCAGCAACTGGGAAGATCAGGCCTTGAACCAAATTCTACTCTCTTGCTATTAATCTCCTGTCCTCTGCTTATTAATCCCGGGTCTGTCTTTGTCTTTCAACATTTATTAATGACCCCTGTTTGCAGCAAATAGGATGCTGAAATCTCATCTCCAGCTAGCCATAATTTACACAACAACAAAAAAAAAAAAAAACCCACAAAAATTAAACTCAAGAAGAGGGTAAAGGAAGAAAGGAGGGATGTGCATTGCATAGCAAAAGGGCAGAACGAAAGTGTCTTTACATTCAGTGACACAAGAGGGTGAAGAAGCACTACTCCTTATTTTGGCATATCACACAGACATCTCACGGTCCTCAAGTCAGGTAACATCATGGCAAATAAAGAAGCTTCACTGGTCAAAACCACCAGGGTAGCAGTTCATTCATTATCTGCTTCTCAGAAGGGCTGAACGCTGCTTTCTTCCCACAGGAGCCATGACTTTGCAGCACCTCTAGTACCCTTTTGTCTCCTGGGATGGCACAACTGAGAGAGGCTTGAGGACACACCCATTGCCCTGACACTATTCCTGAAATTAATTTGCTCCTCATATGAATTTCTACTCATCCACTGAAGCATGGTTGATTAAAACTAATAATACAGTCAGCTCTCCATCACCAGCTGGGAGTGTCTCCAGCCTGCAGAGAGCCACACTATGGATGGGGAATGAGTTCAGGTCCACAAGCAAGAAAGCTTTGTTCAAAAAGGAGTCAAAGCAATATGGCCCACAGGACCAAGCAATTGTTCCCATACAACACCCCCATTCCCAAAGGGGCCTGAACATTTGCTGCTTCTAGACCTGGAGTCAGAAAGAGTAAAATCACCTCAAGCCTTCTGGGCAGGCTGGCCTCCCACCACCCCAGGCTTTGGAGAAATGCCCATCAGCTGCTGAACAACCAAACGTGGTACCAAGGTCTTCCCGCTCTCCCTAAACTCAGCAGTTGGCAAAAGCCCTTCGAGTTGATCCATTCCTCACCTGGAAGCAAGGCAGCCCCTTCAGGCACCCCGACAGACGTACGGACAGGCTCTTCCAAGGGACCTCTGCAGGTGCAAACACAAAGGTCAGAATAAACGTTTTGCTCATCATAAAAGCAGAAAGTAAATCAAGCTGGCTGTAACACCTCGCCAAGAAAACAACCCCAAAAGGGCATGTAAGGCCAGCAGCCCTCCTGTACAGGGCAAACCATAGCTTTTTTTTCCCCTCTCTGAAACAACTCATGTGTCAGTCTGTCCTTGTTTTGACCTATATAGGGTTTTTCACACCTTGGTAGCACAGATTACATCTGAGCAAGAGCTGAAGTAGCTGAGGTTTACTTGGAAGAGAAGCTACTTGTTTTAAATCACTGTAGAGCTGGTGAAAGGCACTGACGTAAGGGCTGCAGGTAACAAAGTCCCTTTCAAAGCCTGACCAGACTTCCTTCTGCCTCTCATGCTTAAAAGGCCTCTTCTTCCCAAGCCTCCACTGCCGCTCAGGCCAACGGTGAGTCATTCCCACAGCACTGGCTTTGCCATGCAATCATCAAGAAGCACCAAAGCAAAGATGGGATGCACTAAACACACAGCCATTGTGGAAAAAGAGTCAGGGTGGGACAGCCCAAACCCTACCCCCATCTCCAGCTCTGGTTTCCTTTTTGGGTGCCTCCAAAGACACCTAATTAAAAAAAAACCCACAGGTTTTCTAAGTTACCACAAGCTGCTTTCAACCAGCAGTCTTTCACACTTCCAGTTTATTGATATTTGAGCCTATTTGGTGTTTTCTATTTCCTTTCATCTCAGTCTTGGAGAAGAAATGAGCAAGTTCAAAAAATACTAGTGATGATTAATGAAAGGTCCACCTCTGCCTGCCCCAGCTCTCCCAGCCCACCATGTTCCTGGTTATACCAGGTTACCTCCAGCTCCTCCTAACTGCATCCTCACCTCTATTTTCCTGAGATTAGCCAAGGATTAAGTCATTAAAGAGAGGAAGGAGAGACATATCTAGCCACTCATAAACATGATTTTTTTAAGGAAACCAGGCTAAACCTCATTAGACCCACCATCAGCTGTCTCTGCTCAGGAGAACCGGGTCTGGCAGGGCAGCAGCTTTGCACTCCTGGTCCGCAGTGATGGAAGAGGAGCAGAACAGCAGCAGTTGCTTCAGACCCACACCAAAGGATAAGAAGCACAGAAAAATTTGCTGAGGACCTGCCCACACAGACACTGGATATTCTTTTCACATTTGCCATGACAAAAAATTTGTGTTAACATTTTTGTGAGCACTGTAAGCCCATATCAAGTATCAGCAAAGAGGCAGACAGGTGTCCTGACCACAGAGGAGACAGCATATGCAAACAGTTTGGAATTTATTATTATTATTTTTTAAAGGGAGAAACAAATCCCAGAGATTTTTCTGTGCATGATACATTTTCTGCTCCCTGTTTGATGTTGCTTTCAGACTTCAGACTTCAAATAGCTAACGCTAACCTATGCCTCAAGCCTGCTTTAAACTAATGGCCCTTATGTGACCAGAAATGAACGCATGGTGAATCACTTATGCCACACACAGTGGGGGTGATGAGCGGTGGCCCATGTCTCCTGATGGCTGCAAGGACAGGAATAAGCAGGGGGAAAGGAGAACCCATCTCTCTCTGCATCACAGCCACATAACTTAGCATAGAGCCTTTGCATTTTTTGGAGCTGGAAAACACAAACTCCAGGTCAACAGCCCAACCACAAGCAGTCAGAGAGAACAACCTAACCACTAGCATTTTCTGCAAAATATGGAGAGAGAGAGAGAGAGAGAGAGAGAGAGAGAGAGAGAGAGAGAGAGAGAGAATCTGCATAGGCTGCACTTCCACTTTCGCTTGCTTGCCTTTGGGAGATGCTTAAGAGAAGCTGCATTTTAATTAGTAGCCCCAACCAAGGGAATCTGATCTTGACAATAAAGGAAGAACAACCCGAAGTTACAGACTTCAGGGTATGTGGGTCCCAGCCCTTCACTTCTTTACTGACATTACTGCTTCCAGGAACTAAATCAAAACCCCACTTAACTTCACAGTGGTTGCAATTGCGTCTAAAGCACTGCCTAAGCCTCAGCTGTAATAAACAGACATAGCTCCACTGAAATCCAAGGAGTTATTCTGATTTTGTCTGGTTACAGATCTACAGACCCATAAACATTACAGCTCATGCAACCTCCAGCTAAGTATCTTCTAATGGAAGACCATTATCTTTGTCAGATGGATTGGGATAACTTCTTTAAAACATTCTTGAAGACTCATTAGGATCATTGGGTTTTGGTGGTTATATTTTAAGAATAAACCCCAGCAGCTATTAAACACTGGAAAAATACATAATAGCATTCTACAAACAAAGCTTGAGTAGAGATACAACTATAGTTTGGGATTTTCTTTGGGAAATTGGTAAAACGGAGGGAGGAAAGAAAACAGAAAAATGAAACCGAGCTCTGCACACACACTGAGAAATCAAACGTTACTTGACAGATAATGAATGAAAAAGAAACACAGGTAATAAGGAAGCGAAATCATGTAATTCTGTCCTCCTTTTGAGCCTTATTAAATTATATTTTGGGTATGAAGCACAGACAAGATGTCATACACCCAAGGAAATACAGCTGCATTTCACCGCCTCTCACTTGCTGTAATAGCTGATCTCAGGATTGACTCCTTTCCTCAGCCTTCCTCATCTCCTTGTAATAAACCACCCAGAGACAAGCCTGTACTGACTGTGCTCTCCAGGAGCAGAGCAGTGCTACTGACTAGTTTTACAGACCTCTGCCCAGGACTGAATGCTGCCAAACATCACTACATCTGTGCCATGGACCTACTGTTGTGTTCTTTAAACCATCTCACCAAATGAACTGGTTCCCTTGGGCAAAAGGCCACTCTATCAGCTGCAACCAAGCTCCTGTTCAGATTGTTGCATTGCCACAGCTTTGCTGATAAAGGAGAATCCTGGTTTGTTTAGGTTTTTTTTCTTTTTTTTTGGCCAATTTTTGTTTCCAGGCTTGATTTTTAAGCCAAGCTTGAAGCAGGGAAAGGTGGAAGAGTCTTGCTTAACATTTTGCAGAAAATCCACAAGCATCCCAGGCCCTACCATGGGATTCAGGTGCTGATTACGAAGAGCCACCAGCACAAAGAAGTCCCTTTGAGCAGCTCCTCGACCTGCGAGCCTTCCGAAGGGGCACCTCTGACCAGCATCACTACCTGGGTCAGGCAGATGGAGGGGTGGTGGGGAACATTTGAGGTATTTCATTCATTCATCACTCAAGCCAGGGAAATACTTTGATACACACGTTTGGGTGCCTCTCTCTTCAGACACAGATTTGTAAGCCAGCACAAGTAAGGCAAGGCAGAGGCACTGCCAGGTCCTGTGCTAAGGATGTAGCAAGGGCACTGTGGTGCCAGCCTGTATCTCACAGGCACTGTGCTGTAGGATTGCAGCGTAGAAGAGCCACATGTCCAAGCTGCTATTCTGGGCTAGCATGTCACCACACTTACAGGTATGGCTGTCACACTCACACAGGTGCCTGCACCGACCACAGCTCTCTACTGGCTCAGCAAGGGAAAGGGCAGAAAGGAACACAGCCACTCAACACCCACCCACCCACCCTCACTGTGTGCACAGGGCTGGTGGGAGATAGGGATATTTAGAGCCCCCCAGAGTGCAGTCCATCGTAATTCCCTCCTGCTCCTCCAGCCTTGAATGCAGCCTTAGAAATCCATAGCTCCAGATAGCTAGCCCACATGCTGCTGCTCCAGTTCAGTAGGGAGAGCATGAGCTCAATTTTGCAATCAAATAGGACAGGACAAAAAAAAATGTAGTAGTTTTTGGTAAAATCAAAAAGACACGCCCCATTCAAATCAAAAATAAAACAGAAGTGAGCAAGAGAAAAAGTCTCCTATTGCTTCAGTGGCTGCGAGATGCTCCCAGTTGCAACCAAAGGTTGCTCAAAGGTAGCTCAGGTGCAGGAGCAAAGCCATCACAGTTTGCCAGCATCACACTCCATGGTACTGTCCTCCTGTCCCAAAGTGCTACTGAACTGTGAGAGCAGCTCCTCTGAGAGAGGATGCTCAGACATGCTGTTCACGGCTCGCCAGCATCATTTGCTGCACTGGATCTCCAGGGACAGCAGATCTGGGACAACAATCACACACGTTCCTTTTGCACTGCAAATCAAGTCAAACCACAAGAACGAGGAGCATCCAGGGACACAGCACATCCAGTACCCAAGTAAGAAGGGGCTGCCAGCCCCACACCCAAGCCCCTACCACACGCAGTGGGCAGGTTTGCTCCCTGCCTGACGACGACTTTCTTTTCACCAGCCGATGTAGGAGCTTCCCAGAGAGACACAAGAGAAAGTCAGGCACAGCTCAAATAAGCACCTGGATCTACAAACAACAGATTAAATTCTCAAGCTACAAAACTATGTTTTAGCAAAAGTGCAATTGAACTCCATGTACTTGTTACATTTCTAAATATACTCTGGTTGTCAAGACAACAAAGAGACTGATGGATCTCTAAAGTGTACTGTATCTATTTAATTGTCAGCATTTCAAACTGACTCAAGGAGGGAAAAAAAATGCTGCGTGATAAGTCTAATTGTCATGGTTACCACCGGCTAACCCCACAATAAAAATATATATATTCTGGCTAAATGTGCCAAGCCATGTGAGGAGCAGATGGGAGACATTCTCATTACTGCAACAGCCTCCACTGGAAAACTAAACTTGAGGAAAGATGCGAGAGACTTTATGGAGATCTCAGACACAACAGACACCGTGGGCTGCATCTTCCCAGTCGTTTGGCAGCAGTTGCTCAGGCTTTTCCGCTGTGCTTATTCACCCCATGGGTGTTGGGACAACCCATGGGGCTGGAGCCGCATAGTTTGAGAATATTCTGTTTTGGGGATCTCATCCCTCACTGCAGAAAGCCTGAGATGTGAGATGTTACTCCTCAAAAGCCTCTGACAACATCTGATGTGCAACTGCCTGAGTTTTGCATTCCCACCCTCATCTGCTTGCTCTCCTCCCTCCAGGGGG